AAGTAATTTTGAGTGATAAATTATTTTTTTTGCGATCATTGCACTTGCCCTGCGGGCAAATGCAATGAAATTTGTACTCTCCCAACAATAAAAACTACTTCCCCCGGGAGATCAGGCGATGGTTAACATCGAGCCCTGTTCATACTAGCTGCAACTCTCTCTACCTTTCTGAGTGGCAACAAACCCACTTCAACTGTTTAATTCCCACCTAGGGACACGGTAGGGGTGGGTATTGGCAAAGAAGCCATGATTTGATTCGAATCACGATTCACATGCCACGATGCGATTCTATCACGATGCATCATGATACTTGCGATATTTTCACTGAACACTGTAAGAAAAAGATACAGCCCTTACCAGTGGCTGACTGGCTGGGTATGATCTGGATAGTGTCTTCAATTGATACATAACTGAAAGCAACTGAATTCATACATAGCTGTATTTATGGAAACGACTTTTGGAGGTGTTGCCATGAAAACAAATACTGGACAGAAATATTACTATTACTGGTGTGGACACACTGACAAAAAGATCTTAGGATTCCTCAAACTTAAAATAACAAAATTAGGATAATCAGTGCCGTGTACATGGCCTCAGTGGTCCTTTAAACCAATCAAACGAAAACATTCAAATGTATGACATTTCGCCTTTTGCAAATGGTGTGCGTCATATCAATTGCATTTTTACCTTCTTTGTTCTTAAAGCCAAAATGCATCTAAGCATCTGACTTGAAATGTGATGGAACCGCGGGGCGAATTTTCATAGTGTCCTCCATGTTTTATTTCATATGACTCGTCGCAGTATCCCACGGCCGGACATGCTTGTGACACAAGGCAGCGGGCGTCAACACTTCCGCAGCGACATCTGCTGGACTGGAAGTTGTATTCCACTTGGTTTGGCTGTGCACCAACCATTAATGTATTTTATTTGTTCATTTTTTTTTTTTATAATCGATTCTTGCCTTCAAGAATCGATGCAGTAGATCACAAAAATTAGAGTTGCGATGCATCGCCATGACGATTATTTTGCACACCCTTAGGACAGAGTTAGAAATTTAGTGCCTTACCGTTGTTAAATATTGTGTAATTAAAAATCAGTGCTGCTGCAATTTGAGACCTAAATTTTGTTTAGTATCAATTATATTGCAAATGCAATGAATTGCCCATCCCTAGTTTAAACAAACCTGATTTACAGTGTAATCTTCCAATAGAGAACATATCTTTTTTAACTAGGTAAAGTTTAGCTAATGCTTAAAACTAATACTGATACTGGGATTTAATTCAGTGTGGCCTCAGATGCATCCATTTTCTGTGAAGTGTAAACAAATATGTCACAGTGCGCCAATCTTTCATTAGAATATTCTGACCTACATATACAGTAATATTCCGTTAAGATTAGATAACACAGGACAAATCTTAAGGTTATCTATAGATGGGGACAGGAACGAAAATTACTAAATCCATAGAGGCCAGTGTTTTCAGGTAAAAAATCCTAATGCTTCTTATTATTGGAGATAACAATGGCATCTAATGATAACTTTTTGTTCCTATTCTAAAAACAGTTGTCTTCTCTTAGAGTTTTGCTGACGTATTATAGCCAGAAACATTGAAAATATTTATCTGTTTATTATTTTGTATTTTTAGCTTTTAAGCATGCAAACTGCAACAATGACATTGAATCAGCTTGAATGTCAGTTTCTGGAAAGACTGTCTTGAATGTTTCCCTCTCATAATATGTCTCACTGCAAAAAGATTGTCTGAGAATTGTTGACAAATTACCTTATAACCCCTGGCAAATTGGTGTGTAGGAGAAATTGCTTCACTAAGATTGGTGTTTTTCTTTTTCCTCCTTGTATTGTGGTAACAAACACCTAAATGCTGCAGAAAATGTCCACATTTATGGCGACAGTGACCTTTGGTCATGATTAGTTTAATTAATTCAGTTACTTTAATAGCTCCCAGTTGCTCTTTCCATTTTTTTTCTTTCTTTTAGATTTTCAATAAAAAACGTTGTGTCAACATGTGTTTTGGCTTCTGAAGATGTTTTAACAAATGTAAGATGAGGAGAATGTGAGCTGATTTGTTTGTTTACATGATGTGGAATATAATTCATTCAGTTCAGTTCAAAAATACTAAATGATCCCAAAGGTGAATTAAAAGGTATTTGAAGTTTAAAGAAATCTATTTACTGATGAACTTACATCTATACAAGCAGTTACAGCGATCAATCTATGTTTTTAATAAGGTTTACATGTTATAACCTAACTGTGATATGTGGTGTTCTTTATTAATACATTGAAAATTAATATTTATTTATTTTATACGGTTTCATTTTTTAAAATCTCAACATTCTCAATATGTTTATAGAAATACACTGACCAGACAGAACCGGAGTTTGTATTTGACTCGATTTCTTCCCCTCAATCTGACTGTGCAGATTACGACATTGTGAAAGTGCATTGAAATGAGAGCCTGGATGCTATTGTATCTGCTCCGTGGCTGTGATGCTATCAGGACCCCACTTCTGAGTATTATTTGTGGTGTGTCAGTTCCTCACAGTGCGCGGCCGCAGTGAGGCTATTTCTCCCCAACCTTCAATTCAAACTT